TTTGATTCCTGTATTAAAGCATTATTGGCCTTATGTTTATTCTTCAGGTAGAACACCAGCAAGGCAGCGAGAAGCACTAAGAGCACAATGATGACTTCAACAGAGGCCACAATGGTTCCTGCGTTGTTAGATGATGGCTGAAAATAAAAAAAAAAAATAAAAAAAAAATATATAAAAAGATTTTCACTAAATATAAAGTTCACACACACATATCTCTTTCCAGTTCACTCAGAATTATAGGTATGATGGTAACAAGAATACATACAAATCTAAATGACACTAAAGTAAACTAAATCTTGCTATAGGAAGAACTCTTACTTTGGTCTGTCTTCTGCCCAGCACAGCCCACTCCAACTGTGTACCGTATGTCATCCAAGGCAAGAACACCCTTCTCTCCTTTAAATCCCTCTAGTACAATCTGCCTCCCGTTAAAACACACACATCAGTATAATCACACTCAAAAACCTATGCAAATATAGAATACAGTCATAAGAATAATAGTAGTCCAAGGCACTCGAATCTTATTAAAAAAGTTTTAAAAAGCCTTTATTTCATCATGGCTATAAGTTTTAAAAACAGGTGACAAGTTCACACCCATTTTTAAAACTTATAGTCATGATGAAATCTTTAACCATGATTAAAAAATCTAACCATGATTAAAACTTTTTGAATAAGATTCGAGTGCCTTGGACTACTATTATTCTTACGAGTTGAATCATTCCTTGCACACAAAGAGCACCGAGACATGAACCCTATACCCCGTGCAGCACTTCTTTTGCATTCATTTCATAGAATACAGTCAGTTTTAGTCACCTGGTACTCAGTTTCTGAGGTGATATTGACACTGAAGGATTTCCAGTTTCCACCTTCCTCATGCAGCGTCAGCAGTTCATGTCTGGTCTCTTCAGACAGCCTCCACACTGAAAGTTTAGTGTCATCTTCACCAAGAAAGTACTCATTAATAAATTATAATTATTTTTATTTAATCCAAAGTGACTAACAGTGCATTTTACAGGATATGTAATAGCTGGATGCTAATTTTAAGGAAATGTTTTTAATAAATATGGTGTATAATCGGCAGAGAGACCTTTTGACAAATATGTTAGTAGTTGCACTGCTGTTCAAAAATTTGGGTTGATGAGAACTTCTGGTTTTGAAAAAATCTCTTATACTCACCAAGGCTGCATTTGTTTGATCCAAAATACAGTAAAAAAAACCTATTATTGTTAAATAATATTACAATTAAAAATTACTGTTTTCTATTTGAATATATTTTAAAATGTCATTTATTCTTCTGATGTCAAAGCTGAATTTTCAGCAGCCATTACTCCAGTCTTCAGTGTCACATGATCCTTCATCCTAATATGCTGGTTATATTTGGTGCACAAAAAACATTTATTATTTTCAACATTAAAAACAGTTGTGCTGCTTAATATTGAATATATGAACATAAAATTCAAAAGAACAATTTATTTGAAATAGAAATCTTTTGTAACATTACAAATGTATAAATGTCACTTTTATCCATTTTAATGCATCCTTGCTGATTAGAAGTACTAATCTCCTTAAAAAAAAACATTAATGATTTCAAACTCTTGAACAAACGTGGTCACTGACATACTAAAAAACTGAAGTAATAAACAACTAAAACTGACAGTTTGATGATATAGATACATACTGTATATACAGTGGGTACGGAAAGTATTCAGACCCCCTTAAATTTTTCACTCTTTGTTATATTGCAGCCATTTGCTAAAATCATTTAAGTTAATTTTTTTTCCTCAATGTACACACAGCAACATGGTTGGCTGATAAACCCAAAAGCTCAGACAGGTTCCTTTGGTTGGTGCCAGGTGAGGGCTCAGCAACCAGGCATTCTGGGTAGCGGTGTCACGCTGGGAGTTAGGAAGGACCAAGAAGTGTCCTAGCGTCAGAAAGGAGACTAAATTACACCCAGTTCCTCAAAATAAATTATTATGTAAGAAATCACCTTCTTCTGTGTATAGCATGTGGTCATATGGTGGGGTGCTGTAGAACATCTCAGCTTGCACACTGGTCAGGTCCCAGTCTAACCAGTCTACAGATGGGTTCTGAGTGTTGGACCAACCACACAAACCTTTCTCGAAATCACAGATGCTATCTGAAATGCACACACAAATGCAAATAACAATTGTTTACAAAAACAGTCAAACAATCTTGTCATAATAAACAACTATAAATATTTTATTAAAATATAAAAATTTAAATAGTAATTTAGAATTAATGATAATGGATAATTACATATATTTATTCAGTCATATATTTAAAAAATGTGAATTTTATAAAACAATGTATACTATTAATATTAAACATGAGAATGAGGAAATGAGTATTGAGAAAGTAAATGGTGTAGATTTTTTAATATTGACTAACTTTTAAAAGTCGAGTAGGTGATGACATCAATGGCAATAAAACTGAATCTTGTGTCTCCTTCACCCTTCACCTTAAACTGCAGCTGAATCCCCAAAATATATAAAACCTCATACTCAGACCATTTATTAAGCAATAAACTAACAAAACAGGTTTCATTGCATTGCATTACTAAACAAGCCAAGGCATCAGATCACTTACCTGCCAATCTCCATGCCAGTTGACAATCCCTTGGCCATGACGCCAGGCATGTCCCTGCCTGATGCTACTGGAAAATAACTGTATCCCGTTTCCATCAGTTGGCTTCACATAGACATTCAGCGTGCCTGTATGGGGATACATACACTGTTTTTACTTGCGAATGAATAGTTGTACACACACTTATGAGATAATGCTCTCTTTACCTGGTTTGTCTCCTCCTGTGTGGTACCAGAAGTTACGGTGTGAGACAAACCTCTATGCACAGGGGAAGTCAAGGTGGTCACACTGCCCTGGGAAAGGACATCGAAACTGCTGTGGGCCAGCATGTAGAAGTTACCCTGGTCACAACATACTATATATCATTCATTTGAACTAATCCAGCTAAAATAGAAAACATGGTAAAAACAGGTTAAAGGAATAGTTCACCCAAAAATGAAAATTTGGTGAACTAATTCTTTAAGATGGATTATGAGAGCTTAGCGAACAAGACGCAAAAACTCTGGATGCAAAAATGTTGCAAAACTCTGGTCAAAACTGAGCTCAAATTTCTTTACTTTTCAAATTTCCCTCACCATTTTCTGTCTCCAGGCAGTGGTCAGTCTTGGGTCCAGTTTTGGCTGATGCCCAGCTCTGGTGTACCCACCTGGCTCTTCCAGAACTGGTGTAGCCACAAGTCTAACTCTCAAACGAGCACATAGTGGGCAAAGAACATGGTCCTGTCACATCATCTAAAGCCAACTGGCCATCAAAACCACAGCGAGTGGCCTCAAACACCAGCTACATATGCAAGACAAACAGAGACAGAATAAAAATGAAGTAGAAACAAGGATAAGAAGATTAAAGCAAATGACCAATGAATTTAAAAAGTCATAAGATGCATAATGCAGTCAGTTTATTCATTAATAATCTTGTAAGCCATTATCTGTTTTTCTAGTGCTTTTGCTGACAATTATACTTTAGATGTGTAAACAACTTTTGTGTGCACCTGGAAAGCAGAGAGCTGAGGAGGCACAGACCAATGGCCCTCATGCCAAATGTTACCATGGGCACCGCTGCGCGTCCACAACAGCTCTTCGGAGCCATCAGCAAACTGCAGCTTTACACTGAGACCGCCTGGGAAAGAGAAGATGAAACAAATGGATTATAATGAAGTGTAACGTTTGAATCAGTTTCTCTGCATAAGCTGTTCCCCAAAATGAACTGTAGGACCTTCTGGTCACACATCATCTTAAACTAAACTAATATTTTAAGAAGCTGGGAATAAGGTGTTCAGATCCATCTGTGTTTGGCCCATTGAGTTTGTAGAAGAAGGACAGACAGTGCTCTGAGTTACTATACTGTCTGACTAAGAGGAGACGTCCAGCCAGACCTCGCAGTGAAGTGTCCCACATATCCACCACCAGACTGAAAAAGAGAGAGATGAGAAAAGAATCAAAGATGTTTGCATGAGAATGCTGATGTTTTCAAACATAAAAATCAAATAATAATTCAGTCGATATCAAATGTATCCTAACCATCATGGACAGTGTGGTCCATTCCACTATGAAGCCTCCAGTCATAATTATCTGTTTGGTCTTGGTACCATCCACACCAATTTACCTCAAAATTACATGATATTTATGTTAGAGGGGAAACAATAGAGGATGATGCTAAGAGAGAGTGAAAAACTACCATAAACACAGTGAAAATAAAAAAAAATATGATTTGTTCCCACTCACCACCAGAAGGAATAAACAGAGCAGAACAGTCAACAAAGTGCACATCCTTCACTGCAATCTGGTTACTTGGGGAGAGCTCTTTAGCACGGGCCATGAACTCTAACTGAGAATGTCAAAAGATAGATAGAACGATAGATAGAACAAAGGGACGATAGAGCGACAGAACGGTAGATAGATAGATATGTAAATAGAGAGACAGGCAGACAAACAGAGAGATAGGCAGACAGACAACTAGACAGTCTACCTGAAAGCGATGATCTCTGGCTCCAACATAGACTTCCTCCTTTACCCAAGTCCCTGCTGTCTCATTGGTTCTTCCAGAAAACTCCCACAACACAGGATGAGTCCCCAACACACTGTCCACAACATACACTGCCAGATCACCTGCAGAGAGGGGAAGATAATCCATAGTCTACCATCATGCTGATTTACAGAGGTGAGACAGGTGTATTACAGCTGATGTTGTACCTATGTGTGGGTTACTGCCACTGAGACTGAAGGGTGCTGAAGGGTGCATGCCGGACCTGATGGACCCAAGAGAGGGGTACGAGTTTGGGCTTCACTTAGCTGCTGCCCGGGAGCGCCAATCACAGACAGGAACTCCTCTAATGACACACACACACACACACGAAACTAAATTAAGAAGAGCACCTCCACGTTCCCATACAGGATAGATCTGCTTCTCGGTCACCAACACAGACAGTCCACAGGATACTCAGCCAAACTGATGTGTGTACATTACCATCTGTAATTATGAACAATGGGTTTAAAACTTAAAGCCATAACCACTTTAGACAGTGAGACGCCTACCTAATCCTGATTATGTGGATAGATTCTTGATAAAACAAGTGCATTAAGTTGATGGTTAATGCTCCCTAAAATATGCATTTTGTACTATATACATACCCGACAAGGATGTGTGTCCTGTGGTTGGTGCCATGGGAGGGCTTTGAAAAGACATCCAATTACTTTTCATGACATCGGGTTTGGTCACATACAAGAAATGTCCTGAAGAGCAATAATTCACTGACTCTTATTTTGAGACTGCGTCAGTGCACATTTCAGTGTTTTCTTATCATAAATATCAGCCACTGAGATGTACAATTGAAAGCACTAAAAATAAAAATGAAATAAGAAAAAACATAATGTGTGATAGTACACATATGTCCCAACGTGGCATTCAATATTGAATTGCAATTGACCTGAAAACGTTAACAACAAATAAAAGAACAAAAACACCAGATCTCACCCCTTTGACAGATATTCAGCATGAGACACACAAGGAGAATCCAGTGGCAGGTAGCCATGAATCCCATCTTTACTTTTGCCATCAGAAGCTCTTTTTCAGCGTGCCGTGAGCAAAAGCACCATCCTGCCACATATGAAGTTTTTAACTTCACCTGTGTCCCTCACTTCTGCTTCCAGATAACACCTAGACTTTACATTTTAACCCACAGAAGCGTGCCAGATCCTTCCTTTAAAGCTGCTCAGCCCTTTTGAAAATATGCAGCACAGACAGTTCAGTTTATTTTGGCCTCAACACCAGATACTTCACTTGACAATGTTACTATTTAGCTAAAATGAACGGCACATTCTGGTCACCATTTCTAAGGTTCGACTTGCCAGTTAACCTTGACAGACAAGCGAAACAAGAAATAAAGACAATGACACAATAAAGATGCAACACTAGAGGCAAAAGTAGACTCATTTATTAAATGTTGTTGTGCAATGCATTTCGGTTTGTTTGCACTAAATAATTTAAATGCAACTAATACAAGATCATCTCTATTTTAATCTTCAGGCTTGAAACGACAAAAAAATGCAGTTGTTTTAAATGTTGTGAATTCAAAATGTTAATAAAACATTCTCCGGATGTCGTTAGGTCGTAGTATTCCGAGCCAAAAAAGTCATTGTACATCCAAATGGCATCTTTTATTAAAAATGCTGACAAACGGATGTGAGGTGGATCGTCGGGTTTATCAGGCAAGGCTTACAACCTCCGGATCAGGTCTGAGGGTCCAGTATTATTGTATGGTACTTTAGAAATCATTCAATCACAATTTACATTTTAATATGTTGTGGTTAAGCACAGTAATTAACACTACCTTAACAAGATATTTCCCATATCGTGATATAATAGTGTATCATCCAAACATTTCTTCCAACTTAAATAACAAATAAGCAGTTCTGGGAATTTCTAAGAACACTTCTCTGGACTTTATTATAATTATGGTTTGGATGAAGTACTTAACCTGTTTTATTTCATCATATTTAAAGACCAATGGCCATAAAGGTAATTGCATTCCTTTCTCTTTGTTGCCATGTGTTAATCTACACATTAAGTTAAAAACCAATCAAACATAATGAGGATGACCTGTCTAGTTTTGGAGTAAACGTCCTATCCATTTATCCATCCATCCATCCCAGAAATGTATTAAAGTTCTGTACTTTCTCAGCCTTGGCACATCAAGACTTGAAAGCTACGTTAAGACAGTTAGGTTTGAAATAGTGTCCTTATTCGCAGCTGTCATTTATCCCATGTAACCCATTCAATACCCTTCGTCCCCCCAGGTCACCTCATAGTCTGGGTAATGGGTTTTTATCTTCTCTGTGGAAACAGAATGCTTCGCTCTCCCAAATCCCTGAAAAAAAAGAGGAACTGGTTCAACAAATGGAACTAATTCAAGGAATGTATATCGTCTGACACTGGAACATCATGCGTACCATGGAATAGCCGTAGACGTGGATCTTTTTTGCAGCACTGTCATGTTTGATTCTTCCACCTCCGAGACATTCACAATCCAGTCCTCCACCTCTCTCCAGTTCTCCAGACACACGGTCATAGATATCAGCTTGAGGAGATACAATGTTATGAAGGTTTTGTAGCTAGACGCAAAGAAACTTTTGGTATCCTATCAAATGTGTGGAGAAAGTTCCTAAAAATATATGAAAATAAACACTTTTGTATTTAAACAAACTCAAGTGCTTTTCGGCAGTAAAAAACGTTAGTAAAATGAAAGCTAGAAAAGTTGAAAACATAATTCAGAGAAAGAGATAAATGAATAGCAATGCATGAAATGCAAAATAGATGGATTAATTGTTGTAAGAAATAAAAGACCAATCACAAAGCAACGTGAAAAAAGGAGACCAATCACAATTCAATATGCTAAACATTCCATTTCTCCCGGCGACGCGAATCTTTTGAATCAGTTCATTGAAAAAGATTCATTCACTGGCTGTTTCTGCAGATGGAGGCTGTCTTGTCTCTTGTGTTTGGAGTAAGTCACTTCAGTGAACGAAAAATACGAGTCAACGCATACAAGTGAACAAGAACGATTCGTCGCTTAAAAAAAATAGCTAAAATCACAGATTCTTTAAAGAAAAAACATCATTCAATAATATCAGCAATGCAAGTCAATAGATTTCATCTTACTCAACATTTATAAATAATAAAAATAATACAATCAGAAATAAAAACCAAGCGATTCGCCAATGCTTCAATATTACCACTAGGTTACATAAAATATTTTAGGATATCAACAAAGTTCGCCTTGAAAGACTATGAGCCAAAACCAACACTTGGCAACATTTTTAAAACTTCTTTAAAATGTATTTTCTGACATTCACAACCTATTGCACTCAATAAATGTGCACTCTTCCCTAACACTTGTCATTCAAACACTTGAATGGATCCCTACCATGATACTCGGCCCATGCGTATCCTCTCACAATATCAACATGTGAATCATCGTCTTTGCTGTGCACCCGTATGAGGACGTATTTGAAGACACCGTTGGGATCTAAATCAACCTCTGGGATTTTAGCGAGACATTCGGTAGACATAATTGGAAAAGCGGGACTGAAAAATCCAAAGACTACAGCGAAGTTCAGCACAACGACAGAGAAGCACTTTATTTACCACTGCTGTGTTTTAGCGTACTGGAATGAACGTATTTACATTAGCGACACCTACTGGGGCGGAGCAGAACGACATGCAGCGGCAACAACAAAGAACAGAATCCCAACACAGAATGTTTATATCACATTAAGTATGGTGTGTTCATGCAAAACAAAGACGTATCATTTCTATGTCATTTAATGTATGCTGTTTGGATTTATTTGTTATTTGAAGAGGTTTAAGAAAAGAGAAAATGTATAAACCTGTGGTAGCATTGCATTAGCCATCAATGTGTTAAAAACTATATACATGAAAAAAACAAATAAAATGACAAGTTTTAGTATAACTGCTAAATGATACTACCATGTACTTTGTACCATGGTATTTATAAAATTAATTCTTTGTACTGCTGTTTTACAGTCTGATCAACACTCACTAGAGGCCACAGTGCATGCTCATTTTGTGCAAATGTTTATTTCTTCAGCCTGGGGAATGGACTGACACAGTTGATGCACAACCTTTTTTAATACAGAGAATACATTTTGGAAAGATCATATTTGCAAATAAGAGTGGTTACTCTAGAGAAAAGTGCACTCCGAGCACCTCTCTAGAGCTCTTCAGGAGCTCAGTGGCTGCATCAAACTCAAGCGGTATCGTCTTCCTTTCAGCTTTGAGTTCTCGCTCCATTAGCTGCCATACAAAATGTGGAGGGGATAATGATTAGTTTAACGATTTTATACTTGTAACACATGGCAAATATAACTATAAAATAGAATCAAAATATCAAATCTTGCTAACTACCTCAAATGTAGAGAGCTCTAGCAGCTCACTGATATCATCCTCTTGTTCGGCAAGCGGCTCGTTGATCTTCATCGCAGCCTTGGCCACATCTGGGTGGTAATGCTTCTGTAAAGTCTAAGAGAAGATTGGCCTTTTTTCATGGACATCCTTTTAGATAGTCAAAGGTTAACGCTTTGTTGAGTTTGTGGCTGGTGAGTCAGTCAGAATAGTCAATGTCAGAAAGGACAGTTCCAAATAAAGAACAATATGAAGAGTCTTGGATTTAGTCTTACCTTGATCTCCCATAGGCTGCTCTCCAGAGCATGAGACTGAGCCGGATCTTCCTCTTCCATCACATACGGGTCATCACAAGGCTCTGATTAAAAACATTCACAAGAACAAGTTTTCATAATTAACGCTGAAAAAAGATAAGTGTTCCTGGATTCCACCTAATAAATTCTGGTTAAAATTAAAATAATAATAATAACAATAATAATAATAAAATAAATAAATGAACGCATTGTTAGAATAAACAGTAATTAACACAAAATAAAACATATATTTAAAATAAACAATTTATAACAAATACATAAATGTATATATTTTTAAATAAACAAAAACAAAATAAATAAGTACATAAATAAATAATAATTAATACACAATAAATACATAAAATAGGTAAATGTATATGGGTCAAAGACATTAAGATGTCCGCATCAAAAGGAATATACAAAAGTGATTTTATGTCCATAGAAAGCACATTAAATGTAAGTAAAGTGTCTACTTTTAAGGTTTCAAATACGTTTTTGGTGAATAAAATGTCATAATTTGGTTGAAATAATGTTACACTGTCATTCAGTGTAACACAATATTTACGTAAAAATTCAAACAACATGCTTATTGTGACGTGTACATATTAAAATATATAAAAGAATAAGGGAGCATATTAAATTTGATTGTGTTTTAAATGAGTACAAATTCTTACTGACAAATGGGCAAAACATTTTAAAATTTAAAAAATGTAAACTAATTAGTGTTTGGGGTGAAAGTAATTAGACTTTTAATATGTCATAAATGGATTTTTGTTGTAAATATGCCTGACAAGATTGTTACACTGAACACTGACAGTTTAGTGCAGGGCTGTCCAAACTCGGTCCTGGAGGGCCGGTGTCCTGCAGAGTTTAGCTCCAACTTGCCTCAACACACCTGCCTGGAAGTTTCTATGCCTAGTAAGAGCTTGATTAGCTGTTTCAGGTGTGTTTAATTAGGGTTGGAGCTAAACTTGGGGAAATCTTTTCCCCATCAGGGGAAAATGTATGATATTTATTTTTTGCTCAGAAAAACAAAATTGCAATTAAATTAAACAGAAAATGTTAAAAAAAAAATTGGGGGGAAAACAACAACAATTTAAAGCAGTATTACACTTATTGTTTTTATGCTTTAACCGTTTTTCGTCTTTGACCCATATATAAATGTGTATATATATCTTAAATGAATAATAATTTGATCGTTCTATCAGTGACGCACCTTCTGCAGTGCTGGGTCTGTGGATGAGGACTCTACACGAGGGGTGCCGGCGAATGAGATTACAGATGAATGGCAGAAGGATGAGGAGAGATGTAGGTGGCGCTGTGAGAGACAGGCGAGCGAAACGCTTCACAAACGCAGCCACAAGGTAGGCTGGCAGATGTCTGTCAGAGCAAACGGGTTACTATTCTACTGTTTTTAAGAAAAAAACACCACATTTATGTTCTGATACTCATATTGATCTTTAGCCAAAATAACCGTGTAAACAGTAAACCTACGTTGAAGAGAGGAAGATGTTCACCAGGTGGAAGAACCGTGCTCTGTACTTCACATGGAAGATAGAGGGATCCAGCAGACTGTACAGCTTCTTATAAAAATCTGGGTAATCCCTACACAACAAAGACAGAGAAGGCTTTTTTAAAAATATATTGAATCTTAAAATATTCAATCGCTCATGTCGATCAGAGAATTGCCTTTTGAAATGGTTTAATGCTTACAAATTATGTTTATGGATGAGGATGAACAAGCCATTCAGAGATAACAAACTGATCGCCCCACCTGAGAAAAAACCACAGACAGAAAAGTGCATTACAGACATATAACTGTATAACAGATAATGTCATGAATAATAATTTAGTTCATATTTTGTACTCATGACAGCACATATATAATCGATCCTTTAGTACACTCTGGACTCACCAATGTCATAGGCAGCGCTCAGAAAGTCAATCAAAAGTGTGGGATCACTCATCTGTGGCATTATGGATTCATGAAGGATGACCAGGATCTTCTTGTACATGTTGCTAGGTAACTATGGGAACCCAAAGACTGGTTAAGAACCTCAAAAAAACCTTAGGAAAGGTCTTTATAGACAAGGAGTATATATATATATACTGTGACATTGTAGTGAGGGTTGTTTTACCTTGAACTTGAGAAACACCAACCACATTTGCTCAAAAGCTCGTTTATGCTCCTATATGGAAAAAATCATATATTTATAATGTCAGAATGAACTTTGGACAAATAAATGCAGAAATGTATAATAAAAAAGTATTCACCTTTAGTTTGGCTACTTTCCATTCTTCAAGTTTGTCTATAAAGCAGAGAGAAATAGTACGTATGAAGGACAATGTTTTATAGGGACAATACCGTGGTAATAAACAAACTTACACTCTTGTTTGACAAGGAAATTTTTCATTTTTGATGCTTCGCTGCTGGGTACGTTGATGGTTGAGAGGAGTGCGAATACATTATTCTGATATACAGGAATCACAGCCTAAAAAACAGATTTGATTACAAAAATAAGCCTGTATAACTGGTAATACAGAATAAATATGCATAAATGTACAGAAAAAACAAAACAAAAAGCTGAAAAACTGGCAATGTAAACACAACCACGCTCACCTTTTTGTTTCGGCCCATGACTCTGTAAATGTTGTCTCGCACTGAACTCATGACGTAGTAGCGCACATCATCCATCTCCAAAAACTCTTGAAACCTGGAGATGAGCAGTGACATGTCTTCTTTCTCTGACAGAAGATGCTCCACCAGGGTCTGTGCACATGAGAGGGATAAGCTTTATTCATATATGACTTCAGTGTGCAACACATGTCAATATCTGTAGTTGTAAAAAGAAAACCTACCCGTAAGAGCTCCCTGGGAAAGTTGTAGTGCTCACTCAAGTCCAGATTCTGGAGAGGGTGTTTGCCTTCTGCTGCAACAAACTTCATCAGTGCACACAGGGACGTCTCCTGGAAAATATGAAAATAATGGACATATATCACACACTGAAGTTTGTCAGATATGAGAGTGTCCCAGAGCTGTTACTGTTAACTAAAAGTAAACCTATTTCAGTAACAGAAATAAAGCTGAAATAAAATGTAAATATTAGATGAAAACATTAAACTTAAACCTAAAAAATTAGACATGTTATCTTGGCAACTAACTGAAATAAATAAGCTTAAGTTGAAGAGCTAAAATTAAAACTATATATACATATACATATATATATATGTTTTAAGTTATGGCTGCACGATTATGACAAAAATCATAATTGTCGATTATTCCCTTGAAATTGTAATTGCGATTATTAATTACGATTATCACATTTTACATTGAATGATGTTTATACCATTGTTTGATGCAACTGCATGCCGTATTTTTATATGAAAATAAACAAGCTGAAAACACTAACTGAAAAACCTTTAGTGCTTTTCTATAGTATTAATCCTCAAATGTCAACTATACATCGGATTGGTTTCTTCTTTAAATTATAAAAAAGGTACAAATATGAATGGTATTATAGTGTTATACTAAAACTAAAACAATGGAAAAACCCTTAAGATAACATGTAGAAAGAAAAAAAAACATCTTAAGCACACAGAATAACTTTGAAAGATTAATTGCCGCTTAGAACGATTACATAATTGTGGCATCCATAATTGTAATCGCGATTAGAATTTCGATTAATTGTGCAGCCCTAGTGTGTTTAAAAAAGGCACATAAAATTACGAAAACAAACTAAAATAAACAACTGAAAGTTAATTTACTAAAACTGACATAAAATTAAAGCTATATATAAATACTTAAAAAAAGCACATTCCAAATGTACTAAAATTTTAATTTAAAACAGAAAATATAGACATAAAAATAAAACTGTATATAAATATGCATAGAAATGCACATAACAAAATTGCTTTAAAAGCTGAAAGTAGAAGTTCTAAAATTACTACAACTGGCATAAAATTAATTCAATATATATATATATATATATATATATATATATAAGCACTTATATTAATATAAAAACTGAAAATATAAAAATATGAGTGAGTTTAAAATATTATTAGTATACAAATAATACAAC